TAATGTCGATTTTGGTAATTTAAAAAATTTAAAAACTTACGTGGGGTAAACTTAGGTGTCGCTCGCGCTCGACATTTCATACCGTGACTGTACATACACCATAGACGCTTCTCAGTAAAGTATCTTCGCAGGATATTCTTTCATCGGATATAAATGTAACGTAATTGTTAAATGTTATTAAAGAACGGCCATATGCGAAAAATATTATTTATTTTTAAAGAGCATACGTGTTCTTAGCAAGAAGTTGTGGATTGTGATAGTCACAGATAGTTAAAACATGCGGTGTTAACTCCTCCTGTCAAAATAGTAGTGACTACACCTGGCAGATGGCGGTGTTGCAGCGGTTAAAGATTTTGTAAAATGGGTTGCATATGAAAAACAGCATTACGATCATAAAAAATATTATCATTATTTTTATTTGCACTGCAGTGATTAGGGTTGTCTACGTTCAAAAAATTTTTTTATTAAAATTGGTAACGATAATAATACTTATTTGTAATGCTTTTCATTGGAGAAGAAATCGGGAAATACCACGTGTAAACGTTCAAATGTCGCGTCCGTGACCGCGAAGCGCGTAAAGAGAAAAATAGAAATTGTCTGTAGTTATCAATGAGAGTATTTGAAAAATATGAAAATGTAAAGTTGGTTGTTATCATTTGTCATTCATNCTCTATGTACCACAAGACATTCGACACGAGCTTGTTATCGAAGCCCATAAATCCTTGATGCATCTTGGAATTGATAAGACTCTTGCAAAATTAAAAGAGTCGTACTACTTCCCCAAAATGAGAAACTTTGTGTCGGGGTACATAAACAGATGTCTGAACTGTTTATATTATAAAACCCCAGGAGGAAAACGACCGGGATTCCTTCATCCGTTAGACAAAGGCAACAGCCCTTTTCAGTGCGTGCACATCGATCACCTGGGACCTTTCAGGGCTACCAGGAATAGAAACAAATATGTGATTGGTTTGATTGATGGGTTCAGCAAGTATGTTGTTTTGAAAGCGGTGAAAGATGCTGGAACAGTTTCAACTATATTGTTTTTAAAACAGTTTATTTCATTTTTCGGTAAACCCCTTAAAATTGTTAGTGATAGAGGTGCCGCGTATACCTCAAATGACTTTGAAGAATTTTGCGATACGTTCGCGATCCAACATATAAAAACGGCGTCCAATACACCAAAAGCTAATGGACAAATTGAAAGAGTAAACAAGATCATTACTACATGTTTGGGAACTTCGACAAGTGATTTGGAATGTAATGACTGGGACGAAAAACTACTGCAAGTACAATGGGCCATAAATAATAGTGTACACAGTGTAACAAAGCGCACCCCACATGAGATTGTTTTTACTCATAAAAGCCTGGGACTAGAAGAAAATCCCTTAACTCAGGAAATAATGGCAATAAACGAAAGCATGGGTACCAAAGAAGAACGAGAGGATGTCGAAATTCTGCTCAATCGAAACAAGGACAAGATAAAATCTCAATATGACAAACATCGAAAAGAAGCACCGGAGTACCACCCCAACGATCTAGTGTTAGTGCGGAGTGAAGCACCAAGTACGGGTGAAAGCAGGAAGTTGGTGCCAATATACAAAGGACCATACGAAGTGGTGAAGGCATTGGACAATGATAGATACCTAATCCAGGACATCGAAGGAGAGCAACAAAGTGGTAGATTTTATAAATCAATTGTTGCAGTGGATAGGCTAAAAATAGTGCCGAAAGATTGTGCGTCTCGAGAAAAAGTATAAAACGAAAAAAGAAAGTGAAATCGTCGTGACAGTCTGTAAACGTATCATCAAACTTATAAGTTTATGTTTTTTTTGTTTGTTTGTTGTTTAGCTAAATGTGTCAGAGCAGAGGCAATGAACTTTTGTAGTAAAATTATTGTAACGTTGCCATAGGTTAGGGATTATAAATGAAATTGTTTGATGTTAGTTTTTTTTTTGCTTTATGTTTTTATTTTTTTTGTATTATGTTTATTGCAGTTGTAAGTCTAGCTCTAATGTATCGAGGACGATTATTGAGTCAGGAAAGGCCGAAGCTGTTATAATATTTTAGACGATAACATGTAATGGAAATGTCGCGATAATCAATATTTATCGATGTAACCGTTGCAACTGTTTAGCAGGTTTATCTTATTGTTGTTTATAAACGTTAAAAACCGTTGGTTACTAATACCTAATTTTCCGTTGGGACCGTTGGCTTTTGCGGAGGTATGATTGGATGATTTCGGAATGACCGTTAATAAATGCAACAAGGTGATTGGAAAATTAATTATTAAGAGGAGGGAATGCGTGATTATATAAATAGGTTTTGAGGGATGGAAAGCCAGATTGAAGGTAGAAAGAAAAAGATAACTTTAGAAAGAAAAAGAATATTTTTGAAATAACAGAGGTCTTATAACAACCACTGTAATTAACTTAATTAAATAAAGCAAATAAAATCAACATCCTGCACAAATTTTTGCTACAGTTCTTCAGAAGTGGGATACTGAGGGAGTAAAGTACTTGTTCAGATTGGACCCTTGTCGTGTGAATCGTGGACCGCGAAGTAGTGTGCGTAAGTGTCGTCAGAAAGAGAAGTACCTTCAGAAAGTTGCGTGAAACGGGCGTTTGGAGCTGTATAACGTTGTCGCGAAATGAGTTGTAAGGACAAAGGGTCGAACTTACAAGATGATGTCAGAGGAATATAGTGTTCCTGCGGGTCCGTCGGTGGGTCAAAGTGAAAATGAAATTATCAGAGAACCTCGCTATTTCAAAAATATGGGGGAAGTGTTACCCGAATTCGATCCAGTCAGGGGTGACATGTCAATTCACCAATGGATTGAGAAAATAGAAGAATATGGAGAAGTTTATGACTGGGATGATGTCGCCATCAAACATTACGCGTTATAAAAATTATGTGGCGTTGCAAAGTCATGGCGGGACAGTTTACCTGCTAAAAGTGGCCGTACGTGGGTCGAGTGGTGTGAACTTTTACGCTAAAACTTTCCGTGTGAGAGGAGCGAATTATCAGTGCGACTGGATGCTCAAAAATACAAACGAAGAGCAAACCAAAATGTTGTTGAATACTTCTACGAAAAATTGTCCAGGTGCAACAAAGCCAAAATGTCAGATGCGGAAACTGTCGAGTGGGTCGTCGATGGTCTCGACAACTTAAAGTTTCGTGACCATTTGGGACCATTAAGGCGTTATAATAAACCCAGTGAATTACTTTTAGACATTAAATCCGCAGACAATTACATAACTAACCAAAGAGAAAAATCGTTTGGAAAACCCCATAATGCAACCGTTACTAAAACTTCGATTAAATGTTTTAAGTGCAAACAAGAAGGACACACTGCCAATAAATGTCGTGACGGTGTAAATGATAAGTCGAAAAATATAACTTGTTTTAAGTGCGGTACTAAAGGACATTACGCGCGGGACTGTAGTAAAGTGACGAATAATCAAAATACTGTGAGCAGTTCCACAAGAGTTGGATCAAGTTCATCGGTACTTCATGTTGGGAGTAACACACACGATAAATACTTCAAGGATGCTCGTTTGAATGGAAAACCAACGAAATGCTATGTAGATCTAGGAAGCAGCTGTGTGGCAATACGATCCGATGTTTTAANAAAAAAAAAAACTAAACGATCTAATGACTTTTATTGCTGGTGTTCTCAGATGGGCGGAATAGCCATTTATTTCCACTACCCACTCGCTGGTATTAAGTAATTTGGAATTGTTTACAACCCCTTTTCTTCAATATTGTTTCAGTGTTCGGCATCAATTTCTATCTGAACACGTAAGTTGCTACAACTATTTTTTACCTTCATTATTAATTATCTTGTGTTCAAAATGTTAATTGTACATTATTGAAAGGTTTTAGTTAAAAATTGTTAAACTGTATTACTGTTTCTTCTGTTTTGTGGCCTTTTCTATTTCCTCAATTGTCTCTTCAAATTACATAAAATATTTTATTTTGTACAAGTGTATTTGTTAACATTCAATAAATTTTTTTTACTATTTCACTTATTATTACTTTTACACTTTAAAATTCCCAAATTCTTATGTTAAGGTGAAAAATGGACAAGTAACAATGTATTTCCTTTTTTACAAAAGAGACAATGTCTTTTCTTTTATAAAAAAGGAAAATACATTCTTTCTTATCCATTTTTCACTTTAACTTATACATTACGAAAAACAATAAGTAACTAACAAATTTAAAGTGCGCGCCTTTTTTATTTAGAATTGACTACACCTGCCGGAGGGCGCGCAAATCGGCGCATTTCGAGTTGACCATCTATTACCCTTTGTAGATCTATTATCTATGGTTAAAACATTATTGAAACGCAAACCATAGATGTGAATGCGTGCACATTGTCATAAGTAGTTTTAAACTTTTATTGTTATTATTTAGAACTGAAAATGGTTAATTTAGGTGATACGTTTCCTAACTTTACAGTAAATACAACAGTAGGACCAATACATTTCCACGAATGGATTGGAGATTCGTAAGTAAATTACTTTTTTTTTATACTTACCGTTAACATGTTTTATTTTTATTAGATGGGTAGTACTATTTTCTCATCCTGCAGATTTTACACCTGTATGCACTACAGAACTTGCTAGATCAGCGAATCTCCATGACGAATTTCAGTGCAGAAATGTGAAATTAATAGCTGTTTCTTGTGATTCTGTAGAGGCACACAAACATTGGATCACCGACATAAACTTTGTAGGAAATATAAAAGAATTTCCTTTTCCAATTATTTCTGATGAAAAGCGAGAATTAGCGGTAATGTTGAACATGATTGATCCAGATGAAAAAGATTCAAAAGGAATGCCTTTAACTGCAAGAGCTGTTTTTGTAATTGACCCACTAAAAAAGTTACGGTTGTCTATTTTGTATCCTGCCAATGTTGGGAGAAATTTTAAGTATAAAGAAAAACGCTATTAATAATATTAAGTTTACATATAAACGTTTTTGTTTACAGAGAAATTTTAAGAGTAGTGGATGCACTTCAGTTATCCGACAAGCACAAAGTGGCTACACCTGCAGATTGGAAGGTAAAATATTTTCCAATTATTTTTTATTTATAATTATTAATTCATGGAATACTCTATAATATTAAGAACCTAATATACCAAAATTAATAGATATGATAGTATGATTTTATGTTACTATAAAGTTAGAGTAAAGCTTCCATATCACGGCTTTTATGAAAATGTAACTTTTTCTTGTTGGAAATGACTTGAAATGACCTAATCATGAAATAATCAGGAGGTGTTTTGTGCAGTTTTTATTGAATGTAAACATTTTTAGATTATACCTCACAGTTAACAGTCCATTTTGGCAGTTGCCATTAATGGTCAAACTCCTGTAGTACTACTTTTAGTTAGAAACGGTCTAGTTATAAGAAACTCAGATGAAAAAACAGGGGAAGGGTGTTTTAAACAATTCTCTTTCTAAATAAATATTTTACAGGTATTCACTTATGCGAATTTCTCAGTCACTTATAGATAACAGTGATTACTCAGCTGTTTCTGATTATGCTTATACAGTTTAAGTAGCATTCGCCTAAAAAGTAATATCTGCTCAACAGTCGTTTATACAATTTAATAGTTACAAATTGTGCCCATTCGAGGAAGGTACAGTATAAGTATGTATTATGGAGGGTAGAGGTAAGGAGTACTATCTCTGTAGTGAAGAAGTGTCCATCAAACTGCCTTAAATTAGGGTGACGCCACAGTATCAACAACAATTGCAAATAAACCGCCAAAAGTTATTAGAATAGGATAGAAAAATAAACGAGGACAATATTACTTTGTACAACGTAAATAGTTGAGATTCGGTTATCTGGACTGTCATTAACTATTCTAGTCACTAAAAATATTAAATTTTCTAACTCGGCATACTTCAACCCGTAACAACTGCTACTTTCATACCATTGCCTACGTTAGCGCCATTTTTGAGGGTTGTTGAACTTATTTGCTGATAGCTGGACACTTTTTCAACATTCTCCCCATAATATGTATGTAAAACAGGGAATGGGGTGCACCGTTGGAGCAGTGTCCCCCTTCTCCTATTTTATATACATCATAGATTATACCATATGTTCCTATATTGGGAACAATTTATATCTACTTTTTAACGAGTCGTAACTGTTATCAATGATTAGTGACTGAAATTCCCATAGGTTATATAGCTGTAAAATATTTTTTAGAAAGAAAAGAAAAGACCTCCCCCTGTTTTTTCATCTGAGTTTCTTATAAATAGATCTTTTCCAACTAAAAGCAGTACTGCAGGAGTTTACTGGCAACTGCAAAAATGAACTGTTTACTGTGAAGTGTAGTGAATAAAAACTACTCAAAAAAAATTTTCCTCGATTATCTCAGTTTGTCATGGTCAGGTCATTTTAAGCTATTCCCTACAAGAAAAAGTTACATTTTCGAAAAAGCTGTGATACGGATGTTTTACCAAAGTTAGGAAAACACGACGATCTAGTTAAAATTAATTCTACCCTTTAAATGCATTACTATTACTTTTTAAGTTGTGAACTGAGTTCATAATTCAACTAATTCATCTAAAATCATTCAAAAGCCAAAAATGAATTCTTAGTGGTTTTTCACTGTTTTAAGACTGAAACTATAGTTAAAAATATACAAGTCTCTAATAGCAAAGTCATTACCAGCTGTAGCAAAACTGTAACTGGTGCATCTTGGTATATTTTTATTTATCTAGATAAAGATAAAAAGGATATATTGTCTTAGGTTTATGATTTCGAGTGCCATGTGGAAGATTATATAACTCCAGGCAATTATTTCCAGTCAGGATCTTACAACACTATAACTTCATTGTTTTAAACGTTGATTCATGCCCGTTTGCACCGATGTAAATAAGTACTACTTAGCTTTAAGTAGTTCTTAAAAGACGAAATTGGTTTGCACCGCAAGTTAAGTCGCGCTTAAGAATCGAAACAGATGCTTAACTTTAAGCACAGGATGTTCCTGACTTAAGCATTGCTTAAGCCTATCGTAACAATTTCGGCAGTAGTTCGGCATTTTTCGCCGTAAGAAAATAACATCGTTATAGTAAAGAGGTTATTATCATGTTACTATTAAATAATAAAATAAACAATATAATAATTATTAAATTAAATTATCATTAAATGGAAGTTGGTGTGTATTATCATTTATGTTATTGTATTGCAATGTACGGATTATTTATATTCCAAGAGTAGTAATTAGTATCTGATGATATATTAGAAATTTGAAAATGTACACAATTTAACTGGAGTAGTGATAAGAACGCCAATAGCTAATCATTAGTAATGGAAGGTGAACTAATAATATACAATAATAGTACGTTTTATCAGTTTTTATTGAAAATAAACACTTTTAGATTACACTTAAGAGATCATTTTGGCAGTTGGCGTTAACAGTTAAACTCCTGTAGTACTGCTTTTACTTGGAAAAGGTTTGTTTATACGAAATTCAGAAGAAAATTGTCTACACTATACCAATTACAACTAAAAATTGTTTCTAACACCATATCACTAATATATATACAAACTAAAACACAACAAAACCTAACAAAACACAAATAACTACAAAAACAAAAACGTATAACAGCAGAAAAAGGCGGCAAACAACACTTCACGACAGCAGACGTTACTTAACGGACACAATAAATTTGAAACTTCTTGACCATTCTGCACAAAAAACCCTACAAATTACTAACTTTTACCGTTGTTGTCAAACCATCAACAACTAAGCACTACTTACTTAAGTTGCAGGTAGACAGCGTACGGTGCAAACGAATTGGAAGTTAAGTAAGACTTATGCTTAAGCAGTACTTTGTTAAGTCTGCCTTAGTAAAACGTCGGTGCAAACGGGCATCAGTGGTTCGAAGATTGTATTTTATTTCTATTTCAGCATAACCGTGAACAGACTTAGTCATTAAATTACGATCTATCTTCATTATGAATTTAAAAACCCCCATGTAGTTTCTCAAACATTTTTATCGAATTTTAACAATTATTCTCCAAACTGTGGTACTGAGCGAACGTGAGAGATATAGTACACTGTAGTAATATACATTTTCCTTTTGAAGTATCTGGTATTCCCCCACACAAATGCCCACATCTTGTTAGGTTTCTTAATTAATTAATTTTTTAACTAATGTAATTATAAAATGACAATTTTCCATCGAAAATAACACCGAGGTCCTTAAATAATTCAACTCGATTGACTTTTTTATTGGTAATTTTATTGTGGTATTCAATATTAAACGGGTTACTTTTATATGACAACCGTATATTTTTTAATATTCAGGATCATATTAATATTACACCGTTTAACTAAATTTATACGATCAGATTCCAACTTTTTACAATCTGCCATATTATCAAATACTGGAGTAACTTCGTTCTTAAAAGGAATAAAAAGAAATGGCCTGCTTTCCAATGTATGAGGTGAATTTGCTTTATGTGACAACACATGAGCAGAAGCACCCGGCCTTTTCATAGGTTTAAGCTTGATTCTTACTATCCTACTAGACTGTGGCAGGCAACCGCCCGTCAGATATCTTGTGTTTTAGGCATTCATATTATACATTAGGAAATTTTGGACGGTTACTAGGTTGTCATCGCGATGTTTAAAAATTATTCGCTTACTGACTTAGCAGTTATTGTTCTTTTACTTGAAGAAGAAGATGAGGAGATGAAGAAGAAAAGGAAAACAAGAAAAGCACCCTTCTGGTGGTTACTAACGAACGGAATGTGTTCTTATTATTATCATCATCAACCGTCACCAACAGACACCGCCACGTTAAAGTATTCTTTCCTACATATAGATAGGGAACTGAAGCGCAAAAAAACATATCGTTTCAACCTTCTGCCGCCTGGAACATCAGCTTTTTAAGTAATTGAGAGCATTTTTCTTATATAATATATGGACGAAATCGGAGACCGGTTAGTTTTGATGGTATAATTTACTTAAGGCCCCAGTCACTCGTTTTTAGACAAATGAGATTTTTTTTTATGTATACAAGGTAGAACTTGGACAAAAATTGACCGATGCATTTTCGATTTGGATGAAATTTTATTATTTGCGGGTTTTATATCGAAAAAAAAAAAGAGAATCGTGTTCAAGGATTTTTTTTTCAAAAATTTGGGAAATAGAAGTGATCGAAAATTTGAGAATTTGGTGATTTTTGGCTTTTCAAAAATTCATAACTCCGGCTGATAGGGTCGCTTAAAATACTACATATTTCGGGAAAAATACTAGCAGAAATTTGGGTTCATATTCCATTTTGTTGGATCGGCTAGGGTTCACTTACTTTTTATTCACGCACGGGAAAATGGCCTATGAATTTTTTCCGTTACTATTTTTCTCGGAACGTGGAGTATTTTAAGTAAATTATACCGTCAAAACTAAGTGGTTAGGCCGATATTTTATATTCCTCCCCATAACTTGAAATTTGTTATTTTAAATGGAGCACCCTGTATATTATAATGATTTTAATTTCTACTTAGACTGTAGGTAGACTTTTACGAGGCTTTCCTACTTCTAAAATTTACCGTTTTGGAGATATTCATTTTTTGTAAAAAGGTTGCACGCAGCAGTAGGAAGCGACTACTACATTACAATAAGAAAGCAAGAAACGATATTCTCAAGGCAGATAGCTATACCTTCAGACTTCCCGTTCTTTTCCTCGAGCATGTCAAATTGAAACCTTGAATTATTGTACGCATTGAATAAATTACATTTTAATCTAATTACGTGATTTATTCATTTATGTGTTTGTTTTGTATTTAGTGGTGACCGTGACAGGTCACATAGTGATCAGATACATAGTGGGTGTTCGCGCTACGATAGTGTTTATATTGTGGAATTTTTACACACTTTAACGACGTTATTTATTGGCTTCTGTTATAATAACGTTTCGTGGTTTTGAATCAAGTTAAAAATGGTTACCGAGTTAGAGAAAAAATGAAAAAATAGTTTGTATGTAGAGTATCGTTTACGCGTGTTCTCAACGATCTTGACGCGCTTTTGAAAACAAACCCCAAGCAAGCAACATGTAACAGTTTCGTATGGGATGCTGGAATCAAAATTTGAAGAAAGAAAAATTATAGATTTTGCAATGTACAAGGCTTATCTGGAAATCGCTGAAGTAGACGACTAACTGAAAGAAGTTAAATCTGCTGATGACTACAAAAGAAAGTTCCTTGGGTTGCGCTTTCAATATGACCGACCTATGGAAACATCAAGCCGATCCACGTTGAAATAGACCAGGATTCACAGGGTGATAGACGTTCGGTAGTAAGTGAAGTCGATGTCACAGGTAGGCGTAATATTAAATTAACAAAAATAGAGTTTAAATGGTTCGGTGGCGGTATTAAACATTGTTTACCGTTTTGGGCACAATTCAAGAAGATACATGAAGATGCGGACATCGATAGTTACGATAAAATCCAGTATCTAATTCAAGCGACGGTAGAAGGAAGTCAAGCGAGGCAACTTGTGGAAAGTTTTTCGGCGATTGACAAAAACTACGCGAAAATCGCTGAAAGTGTACAGTCGTGTTTTTGTCGGGAAGATTTGCAAATAGTCTATGTGCGCGAGTTGGTAAAGCATATTTTACATAATTGTAATATACTGATCATATTCTTTTTTATTTTCTTCATTATGTTTTTAGGTTACATCTATTGGTATTCATTGAGTATCATAGATAGCATGTCTTAACTATAGATGGTGTACATAGTATACTCCTATATTGCTAGTCGGGGTCTAGAAAGAGATGACGACCCAACAGTGCAGACATATATGCGTCTGTCTCTCTAGTAACTACTTCGAGTAGTACGCGCATGCTCGACAATTGAACATGCCTATATAAGCGTGCATCATTTACCCCACCAGACTCGTGACGATTGCGCACAACGGGTTGAGTAATGTAAAAAGAGACAGAAGTAGTCGTTTGTTGTCTCACTTACTCTGTGACACTTCTATTTACAGGAACTAGCAACATAGGAGTATTATATATATGCATTATATCTCCTTTTTTTTTAATGTTCTAAAACTTAAGTTATTATAAATTCAGTTTGTTAGGCGGTTTAACTATTCTTCCTGATCTGGTTGTTTTCTGTGAATATATGGTTGTTTGATTGCCTTTGAATGATTGCGTTGGAGTAGAATCTGTGTTGAGTCTAGGTCTTGGTAAGCTGTGGTTTCCCATGTTGTACATCTGGAATATTTGGAACCATGACTCTATTTAGACCAGGCAGCGAAGCTTGTGTTTTGTGTAGTGAGTTTTTTCTGAATTGCCGATCATCCTTCATTTGTACTTTGAAAGATCTACGGTTTTCGGATTGTCTTGCTGTTATTTTATCTCCCCTTCAGTTTCTATGTGTAACTTTAATCCGTATTTAATCTTCTACCTGTAAGTTTTCAGGTTGCGTTCTTTTATGTCTTTCTTAGTTGCTGTAATCTCTGCAACATTCATAATGATCTTTGATTTTAGATTTACATCACTTGTTGGTAACAGCGGTTTTGTTATTCGACTATACAGTCTTTGGTTTAGGGATTAGTATATTATCTCTGGTTGCAATCTCTACTTAATGTATCTGTTTATCCAAGTGAGTAGTGCTAATTGGTAATCAGTCTTATCTGACGCACACTTCTTCAGAAATTTTAGCTAGTTCAGTACAGCTTTGTCTGCTAAGCTATTTCCCTGTGAATGGTAAGGGCTTGGAAGTTCGGTGAGTGATCCCAAGAGTTTTCAAACTCTTTAAATTCTTCGCTAACGTACTGGGTTGTGTTGTCGCTCTTGAGGACTTTTGGAACCCCATGTGTTCCGAACCAATCTTTTGGTTCTTCAGTTTTTTAAAATCCACGTTGTTGGAGTAGTGTCCGTTATTACTAGGTATGGGTCGTCATTGAAGAGAAATATATCACTCGCTATAATTTGCCATTGTAGTGTAGGTATTTTCTTGTTGATAACTTTTTCACATATTTCACAGTTTGTAACCATATCGAGTATATCTTTATGTCGACCTTTCCAATAAAGTAATTGTCTGGCCCTTTCCAAATAGCTTTGTATTCCAAAGTGTCCAATGTGTATACACTTTAGCATTTTAGGTACCAATACTTTTGGAACAATTGTTTTGTCTCTTTTAATATTAATTTTTCATAATACGCTAATTCTTCACAAATATTGTAGTAATGTTTAATCTCTGGTGGGAGATCTTTACTTTCTTTTGGGAAACCTTTCAATTTGTACTTACTTTATTAACAACTGGAGCTCAAGCACTTGCTGATGATTGAGTTAGTTTTTCTTTGCTGACTTTTGACATACTTAATGTAATCATAACATTAAGTTTTTTGTCCTGTTCTTGATAATTGGAATGATTGTAATCTCTACTTAATGTATCTGCGAATGGTATATATGAGAGGTAGATTAAAAACGATGACAATTGTTTTGTAACAACTCTTTTATTAAAGTATAATTTCATCTGGATTACAAACTGTGAAACAGCCGTTTCTAACTTCTTAAAAAGTGTGAAGATTGGAAAAAACTTTGGCGGTTGTTGTAGAACAAACAGAATAGCTCAAAGTCAGTCCCTGAAGAAGGTAACTTTGTTACCGAAAAGTACTTCGAACAACTACAGTGTCGTGTTTTGGCGTTGGGGTTTTGAGCTATTCTGTTTGTTCTTAAAAAGTTCTCAAGGGCTCCTTTGTTTACATAAAGAAAACGTAACATATAACTTAAGCATATAACAGTCAACACTATAATGATAAACTAATTATTTAGTATATTGGCCCTGGAATAAATTCCTTCTTTCATATAGGGTGTGTCCCATATACAAGGTCCTCTAGCATTCGGACGCTGACATATATCTGTACGTTTTACATATTTTACTAACGGTGAATACGGCGCTATGTTAAACATTATTCTTCGTAACCTTGCTGGGTCTGATTCGATATTCTTCTTAAATATCGAGTCCAGTGGTTTGTGGTCCGTCTTAATTGTTAAATTTTTGCGTATGCTATTGGCTATTGATACTGTCACTGGCGCATTAACGTCGTACAATCCTAGTACTGGTGCTGTGATTAACACCTGTTTGATCTTTTGCAATGCTGTTTGTTGTTAATGGTTCCATAAAAAGGGTACGTCTTTTTTTCAGTATAACTCTAAGCGGGTCGGTTAATTGTGACATGTATGAACTTATTCAAATATGTTACAAATCCCAACAACCTTCGTTTGTTTCATGGGACTTAATACACTTAATGGCGACAACTTTTCCCGAATCTACATATAATCCTTTACCCGATATCATATGCCCAAGAATTTTAATTTTTTCAGTTTGGAATATGCATTTTTCCTTGTTGAGTTTTAATGCAGTCTTCCGTATTACCTCTATAACTTTGTTAGTGATTCTTGGAGTTTTTCGACTGTTCTGGCATGGATGAATCCTTTGTTCATGGCTACTTCTACGTTTTCTATGTCTGATATTATACCCTGGAACACTTTCGGCGCAGATGCTACTCCAAAGGGTAACCTCTTGCATGCGTACCTACCCCAAGGTGTTGCGAACGTTATATAGCCTTGTGTTCTTTTTGACATCTTTATTTACCAGAATCCTCTCCTTAGATCTAATAAGGAAAACACAGTTGACTCTTGTATAGTTGCTGCTATTTCTTCTGTGAGTGGATATTGTCTTCTTCTAATGTTTTTGTTAACTTTTGATGAATCCAGGCATATTCTATTTCCATTTTGGTTTTTACTATTACCATTGAGTTCACTGCGGGTGTTAGTTTATAACTTAACCATTCTGTCTAGTACTTTTTTAACTGCGATTCAGACTGAATAAGGAACCTTTCTTGCTGGTCTTATTTCTAGTTTCAGATTATCTATTAGATGTATGTTGTACTCGTAATTTTTTAAACAACCTAAACCCCTAAATATGTCATCTGCTTGATCAATTTGTAGGGTACTTACTTTTTGTATTTTCTTCGCATGACTTTCTGCCTAACACTGGGTACACATTTTCCTTTACAACTTTATAACTGACTAGCCATTTTTTATTATACAGCTCAGCTTAGCTTTTTTCAATACTACTATTTCATCACCTGAATAAGTAACTAGTCTGTTGGTAGTAGTTTGCTCTAATTTACCGTTTACTTTGTTAATCACTTTCAGAGGTAGTATATTGCACTGTGATCCTGTATCTAGTTTCACTGATACTATACGATATCTATTTTTACTGATTCAATCCAATCCGCTCCTTCCTTTGAACAGATTTATGGAGATGACAATAGTCACGGGTCTTCCTTATCGACCGGTGATCAAGCATAATAGTACGACAAAAATTAGATCAGTTTTCGTTACATCTGTACGTGAAAAGGACAAACCGGTAGTCTTCAAAAACGCCTTACATTTTGATTTTCTGTTTGAACACGTCTACCGTTTGACATTGCCACTTAATATTTTTTGAAAGGAAAACTTAAAATCGTCTATTAAAACCAGTTTTTTACCCCTTTCGCTAAACACAGAAACACCCGAACTCATTGTTGTTCAGTAGATAGGCAGTATGTTTGTTGTTGCAAAAGCAATAAGGGATGCACTACTAATGACTTTGTTTTGCTATAAACTATCTCCAGGGTGGCAAACAACAAACAAGCTCATTACTAAGCGCAACCAGTAAGAATTAAGTACGAAACCGGTCTTTCAAAATCATCATGTTTTTTTTACTACCCTTTGTTATTAGAATCTGTTAAGAATCCTTGCGGGAGACAGTTTACCATATCGCAAAAGCTGGTACTGCTTTCGCACATTAAGTGAAGTAATTTTCCCGGGAGACAGTTTACCATTCATTAAGTTTACCTGAACATTTCGGGAGACAGTTTAACCAACACCGGCAGAATATTGTAATAATCCCACTGCCGATAAAGGAGTGACAGTAACAAAAAGATCGATTTTTTTCGTTCACTTAATATATGTTTGATGTGATTGGATACACATGTCCTGCAAGTCTGGTACTGAAGTTGTTATTGCAGCAAACCAAGATGGATAGGAGCCTGGTGTAGGTTTACATACGTTCTGTGGTGCGAGTAAAAATGCATATTATTCGGTGGTCCTCTTGAGAATAATCAGAGGTTATCAAGTGATCGTTAATATACTGGGTGCTCCACTGAGAAATTTGACAATTCATAGACTTGAATTATCGGATTATTGGAGCCCGCTTGTACTCCAATATAATAGAAAATTTCTTTTCTACTACTGTTCTCAAAAATTATTTGAATTTGAGTTTAATGTTAATAATAAAAAATATATAACACCGAATAATTATTTCTGTTTGTAACTATGTTTTGGTCGGCTATGTGTTCGAAGAATCGGCATCCCTTTCAACTTCGAGTTGGCCCGACCAGTGACGATTGTAAGGCACGGTGCACCTTTTGTAATGAAGGGCCGCCTTTCGTAGGCGCTTTTTGCACGTGTTTTTGTTTTGCTCAGTATTGATTTTATTTTCGAATTTATACGTTCGGAAGAGCGATTGAACACTCTCGTTTTGCCTTTCCGACTAGTCACATCTCTATATTAATTTTCTTTGTTAATTCGTGTTTTAGAATTTTTTGTTATATTAATGCTGTTAATTACACTGTCGAAACCTACTCAAACAGTGAATTCTCTATTACATTCACCACCTATAGGAAGAGGCAATTTTCGCTAATATCTACGGATATTCAACTCTGTCTTGTACATAAAAAGTGGTCCTTCGAGCCGGATCTAAATATTCCAGAAACTCTGAGCTTTAAATCCATGTTTTTCCAACAAAAGCATCAAGCTTCAATCACATAATTCTGAAACAGCTTCACATAGATCAAACTACGAAGTAGTACATTCATTCTACAAAGAAGTGCGTGTGCACAGAAGTCTGTGTTCCAACGCGTTGCAACGTTAGTGTTTCAGTCTTTGTTTTTCTTTTTGAGTGTGCTGTGCAATAACCGAAAATTTTCCTGTTACTTAAGGTAAGACTAGACATAACACTGTGCAAAGGAAACGCGCGTTATACGTACACCAGAAAAATGTTCCAAAGAGACGATTGTGCTAATAAGTTTTCTGTCAATTAGTGGCGAAATTGTGTCTTTACTTTGGAACATTTTCTTTAACAACTTTCACTTAAATAAGACGAGTCGTAGACAAAATTTTTGTAGAGGGTGACAAGTATATGACGTATTGTTATACCTCATTTGAGATAAATTGTTTGCTATCACGTACTAACCAATTTAGTATACGTCACAAATTTAGTTTCGAATATTTGTATAGGTTTAGTAAGTAACTCATTGATTTTAAATGCGATTATATTTTCATGATGTATTTCTAACAGTGCTGTTTTTTTTTGTAGTATTGTAGTATCTTCTTATTTTTATATTAAGTTCTTGAATTTATTCTAAAAGTTGTTAGAATCTATTTTATAAACTTAATTATAATTTTCTTTTTGTCACTGATTATATTTGATCAAGGAATGCGGCATTTAAAAAGGTAAAATATCTAGACTCATTAACTGGTACAATTCTACTGTAGTTACAGAAATTGATCATTTAGAATTCGAAGTTCTAAAAGAAAGTTTGATCTAAGATTTTACGAAATACGAGAGTGTTCAAACCAAACTCGAAAAAAAAAAAATAGACCCCTCTCACAAAGATAAGGTGGAAGATCGATATTACTCTTATGTCGCTAAGTTGAAAGGAAGGGTTGCTTCTCCTGCAGTTGGTGGTTAAGAAGGCAATAATAAGATTGGTATAACTACTGCACCTGTCATGGGGTGTCTTTGGGGGTAGCAAACAGGGCAACCGCCTGGGGCCTCGCTCTTGCAGGGGCCTCGCACACTCGCGCAACAATCTAATTAGAAAAATATTAGGTAGTAATAGTTAATAGTCTTAAAAGAAACCGCAAATTTGCTATTTTTGTCTTTATCAATTTTTTTGAATTTTCGATAAACAATTTTAAAACTGTAAACTTATTTATGAATCACTTTGCATTTTTCAAGTATCATCATTAAAACTAATTCCACAAAGACGAGGGCCTCGCAAAAATTTACCTGCCCGAAAACTTTCAATGACTAAGGCTGCCCATGGCATCTGTTATAAGTCAAGTGTCGGGCTCAAATGTTAATTTTCCTCAGTTAAATATTCACTCGTTCAATCGCGAAAACCAAATAGAACGCCTTTCATCGATTGTTCTTTACTCTAATAGTCGATAATGAGTCTCTAATGGAAGTTGAAAAATGAATTTATCTAAAGTAATATTTAAAAGATGGATTATTTAATTGACACTACAACTAACTAATGAAAATTTAAGCATTAAAGCACTAAATACCCTAAAACAACGATCCGACAGTCAACTGCCAATTATATTTGCAAATGTCAAAAATCTAATCGAAATCCCCAGTCTTAACAAAGTCACTGCACAATCCGCTAGAAAGTTTATTCTAAGAATCAAACAAAATATTGACGCATTAAAGAATCAGAGCATTCCAGTAGATCAGTGGGATATAATGTTAATATACATTTTCTCTCATAAATTAGATTATGGAACCAGATATATATGTCTGAAAGAGATAGTCA